CTCGCCTGCTATGTTAGGGGTCGTGAAAATATTTCTGACTTTGTCTTTGTTGCATATGTGCTTTCTTTATCCTCGTTCTTCCGCTGCATGATCTTGGCTTGGTTCTTGCCATATGCCTTGCAACAAAAACAGATGCGCCGCTGTGACGCATTCTCTAAACGACGTCCCCAAATTAGTCAAAGGGTTGTATGTTCACATGAATTATTTGTCATAATTAAGAATTCAACATTAATATAACAAAAAAGGAGGTAGAATCTCTTTTAACATTTTTTAAAATGTTCTGTCTGTGCAGACACTTGTGCTACGACAGCTATGTGTCAATTTTTATGCTTTTATAAAATCTTTTATAACAGCAACAGCAATTAAAAGAGTGTTTAATACTTTATTTTCAAAAGGTACTTCTCATTCTCACTGACCGCATGTTACCACTGATTGAATATTGCATTAGTGCATTTTGTTTTAGCTTTCTTCGGGAACAGAAATATTTTCAGGCACATGTGGCTAATGCTACATTAGGCTAAGCTCCACACAGCCAGAGGAAACGAATAAGACGGACGGCACAATGGACGGGTCTGTGCAGGCCTGAAACCTGAACTTTTTAAAACCTCGAGAGATCTTGATAGCAGTGCCTCGCAAATGCATTGAATACAAATATAAACGCCCCAGAAGAGTTTTTATGAACATGCATTGAACATTGCATGTTACGCAATTTGTAGAGAGACTCAAATTAGTAACTCCCACTAGTGGCAGTAATAACATTGTGTTGTGGCCGTTTGCAGCGGATGGACAGTCCTGTGAACGCGATAGGGGTCGGGTTGAGGAATATGATCTTGACCGAGTTGGCCTCTGGTAGGCGGGTTATGGACCGTCTGATGCGTCTGCTGTGCAGACCGATCGTCTCATCAGCTGCGGCGATCTTGTGCTGGCGCGATCACATGTGGCTGACGGGGATGAGGTCGATCTGCAGTGGTGCCAGTTTGTTGGGGACGAACTCTTAACTCTTAGCCGACGGTCCGATAACAGCACATTGAGCTGCGGCTCTGGTGGACATTCCTGCATCAAATATGCCAGTGACACGCTCCCGCGTAACTTCTGGCGTTATGACTTGTGACAGCAACACACCCCACCCACGCACTGAGTAAAAAAGACAACTCACTGACAGCAAGATGGATTAAAATCATACACGTCTCAAGAGAAATATTACTTTTGTACAGTGAAATACATGCTTCTGACAGAAACGCTAAGGCAATGTGTGCAATCAAATCAGTTTAGATGACTTTACGATTTCCATTTCCACCTGTTCCTTCCACCATCCATCAGCTCCAAACTTATACACTTCCCGGATTTCCCTTTTTTATATATAAACTTTTGACCTTCGGTTAATTAGGCAAGATGTGCACAGGACACTTAAAAGCAAGTCAGGAGGGAGAGTGAGGATTAGCTGATTCGCGGCTCGTACATTAAGTCAGGGCGGCGTGTGTTTGCGTGCCGTCTTGAGCGCGCGGGTGGATGTATCCTTGACATAACTCCTGATGCGCTTTGCCAAGGATTTTAAGCAAATCAAGGCTGAGAGGTTTGGACTGGGTAAAATACACCAGGGGGATATGAGCTGTGGGGCTTATGGGGAAAGAAAAACAAAACAAACAGTTTTTTAGAAGGACCCTGTAGAGGAATTTGAAGAAAAACTGGGCAAACAAACAATGGCATCGGGAGGGATAAAAGGAATGCTTTTTGCTAAACAATGCTAAATCAAAACGGAAAGATTCCAAGGTCTCCTTGCTCTTTAAACCCGGAACTGTGATTCTGCAACTGAAGGCTGCTATCTACCGTCTTGCTGCAGTTTTCTCATAATGACTCCTTCCCTGACTCTCCCTTGAGATAACTTCCTCTCAACCTGTCTGAACTCCTTCCCATCCACTTCCCTTCCACCAGCCCTCAAGCATCTCCTTTCCCCGGTAGTCATTCCCCTGCTCCTTAATCCCCGATAATTCCTCCTCTCCCGTTTTCCTCTTTGCTTCTTTCTGTCAAAATCTCTCTCTCTTTCCCTCCCTCTCTTTGGCAGACGCTGTCCTCTTCTCTCCTCCCCTCCTCTTCCATTCGCTTCCTACCTTCTTCTCTCCTCCTCGCTGCTTTCCCCATCGCCTCCTTTCCATCTATCCATCCTTTTTTCTTTCTTTCTTCCTCCTTTCTAAATCAGTCCTAATAGCCCGCAGTGCCGCACATGCTCCAGACGTGCTTGCAGAGGTACTGGCACATTCATTACGCAGAGGCGCAAACACGCATCGCGACGCGGATGCAGGGGCGCGCACGCGCGAGCGAACGCTGGCTCGCGCTGACCTGACGCTCAGTCAGCACCGATGTTCTTATATGTCAAACTGACAGTCGCATACGGGAGAAATGTAAAATCAAAGGGAGGGAAAATGGAGTCGCTCTGCAACAAACGGACCGGAATGTGGGATGAGCGAGAAGTAAATGGAGACGAGCAAGATACTGCGAGGGGGGAAAAAAACGGTCCATGGACTGAATCTATAATCAAACACTGAACAGCAGGGGCAGAACACGACGATACGCAATGCTGAGTTTGTGGTTTTTTTCCCCCCACAATGGATAAATGTTTCACACATCCGAGTTCAAAAGAATATGTAATTCATGTTTTCTTTTTTTAAATAGATGTGTTTGTGCACTTCTCTAAACACTCAATTCTGTGTTCTCTGGAACGAAATGAAACATTAGTTTTTGATAAATTAAGAATCTGAATAATTTTTTTTGAGTGAATTAAACGTTCAGTTTTGCGCTGACAGGAAGCTTAAAGCAGATGCTAACTTCAGCGTTATTAGCGGCTAATGTTGGCCGCAGCGTTTATTTCGCAGCTGCAAGACAAAGAAGCTCCAGGACTTCTTCCTTTCTAAATCAAGCCTGTGTATTAAACCTTTCTTTTTTATATTATTATTATTAGTTTCATGTTATTACTCTAACAAGAATTGGCTCTCAAGACCAAAAACTAGCATCTTGAAGCTTTCTCCTCAAGATTAAATGCCAAGTGTAGAATTTTAGCCAATTGACCAATAAAAAGTTGAACCAATAGGGGCAGATGATGAACTGTATTGGTAGCGGCTAACCGTTAGCAAAGTGTCGGTTCTGGGTCATTTCATGCCCACAAGGAGAACCTTCGTGAATTTTCTTACTTTCCAACATATTTTACATGTTCACTAAATTTCTGTTTCTCTCAGTTGGCCCTTTTGGTTAGACACTTAGATAAATAAACTACCAATAATAACGGAACAAACAAGCAGGTTAGTTTATAAGAATATGTGCGCCCTTGTCTCCAGACGAACCCAACAGCCGTGATATACAGAAGAGCTAGTATTTTAACTTTTTGAAGATATTGTAGAGTCAACTGTTTACGAACTGTCTGAAAATTGGGTGTGATTTGACGCACAGCCAGTAACATTTTCTGTGGGAGACATTTTATGTTATGTTGCACTCCATAAAGTCTGACACAAACAGATAAAATCGGAAAAGTTACTTGGGGGTAGCCGGCTAACGGCTACAAGCTCGCCGGCTAACGGCTACAAACTGGCCGTTAGCCTACAACGGTAGCTGGCTACAAGCCGTTAGCCGGCTAACGGCTACAAGCCGGCTAACAGACATGGCAACGAGATAGGGTTTAATTTATTTTTAAAAATTATTCGATTTTGATCGGAAAAAAATGTTAATATTTGAACATTTGGAGCTCTCTTTCCACCCCTAATGCAACTAAGTAGCGTGGGGGAAAAAGGAGGTGCCTGTGACATATAATGAGCAAGAGAGGAAGAGAGTGAAAAGGGAGAGTCAACAAGCCAGAGACGGGCTCGTTTATGCACAAAAGGCACTCGCTCGAACGACCGAATGCGTGTGAGTGCAAGGAGAGAGAAACCATGAGGGAGGGCAGGAGTGAGCCGGAGAGGGAGGAGGGACTCGGAGGCAGGGAGCAGGGAGAGAACCGGAGCGATTGCGTGAGATACTGACGGCCAGTCCTGCCACGGAGCGGCGGGAGCGCGAGCATCGCCAGCGGACGGGACGCGGACGCTCCGAGCGGACCGAGGATTTAACGGATTGATTACACGCCCGAGGAGGAAGCGACACGACAAAAAAGGGAGAGGATGGAATAAAGCAAAAAAAAAAAAAAAAAAAAAAAGAACAACAAAAAAAATTGCTTTTGTAAGCGCCTCACACTTCTGTTTGGAGCATCCCACAAGCAGAGCACCAGTGAAAACACATACATATGATATATATATAAAATTCCTATACATATATATCAAATTATGCCTGTTTTCAAAGAAGCTGCAGCTGGACATCGACTGAATTGACATCAAAAAGGTTAAAAAAGGAAAAAAGAAAAAAAGAATGGGACATAATATGCAGCGTTTTGCTTAAAACTGTTGCATGTTAAACCTTTGTTGTTGTTGTTTTCTTGTCCCCTCCTCCAATAGGGGGGTGAAAATGGAGGGAAAAATAGAACAATTATAAAACTGGAAACTGAGTAGTCGATGCGAGATTGTCTTAAAAGCGCTTCTGCTCTTCTGTGTCCTGCATTTCCATATGGGCTTCTTCTGAAAACGGGATATTTTGATTTCATGTTTTATTTTTCATCTTTTTTTTTTTTTTTTTTAATCTCCCCTTGGTGCCACGCTGCCGTCGGCTGCCGCATCTCCACTCGTCTCTGTCGTCCGCTCGGGCTGGGCTCGCTTTGTTCCAGCCAGGCTCCTGCCAGGCGCTCTGCTGAAAGTGCAGAGGGCAGTCCGAGGGATCCCTGACCCCACGGTGATATCTCCTCCAGCAGCGGCACAAAACAAAACAAAGCAAAACAACAACAAACAAACAGACCAACAACAACAAAAAAAGTCTTCCCAGGGAAAGAGATGGAAACATCAAAGGAAGGATGTGATGGAGGGATGATTGGGATAAGAGCATGTGATGAAAATAAAAAGTGAGAGGAGAGGGAAAACAAAACCACTGAAGAAGAAGAAGAAGCCATGATCCACTGCGAACGGATGATTTTAACCCGTCAATCTTTTCTTCCGTTCATGGAGCAGATCCAAGAAGTCGAGACGATAGCTTCAGTACAAGAGCCCTGCTTACTCTCTTGCCCCTCTCTCATCACCTGTGCACCTGTGCAGAGCTGAGTCAGCTGAAAGCCAAGAGTGGAGTCCTGGGTCTGTCAGAGACCCCTGGATCCGAGGAGAGGAGGGCTCCAAAAACCATTGGACTTCTCCTGCGTGTTTGTGTGTGTGCATGTGTGTGTGTGCCACCCAAAAAGCTCCAGACTCTGACACTGTCAGTGTCCTGTCATCAGGGGGTTGAGCTCTGTGTGTGGATGCGTGAGTGGGGAAGTATGGACGTGCACGAGTGAGAGATAACAAGCCTCAGGTGCCCTTTTGGACGCCGATCACCATAAGGACTCGAGCCTGGACCGATCCGCCAAAAAGATACTTCACAGCTGCTGATACCTGTTGGGCTCTGTGGCTGAAAATAGAAAAGCAGCATCAGTTAATAAAGACGTCAGACAGAGGAGGGGGTGGGGTAGGGGGGGGGAGAGAGAGTAACATCTACCAAAGTGGACTACATTGGCGCCAAAAACATGGCCACCGCGAAAATAAAAAAAGCTCCCTTTCAACTGTGACATTGAGAGCAGCAGGATGATGGACGCCAGTTAAGACCTGTGGTGGAGTTATTTCATTTTTGCATTTTTTTTTTTACCCTTTCTGGACGCCTGAACCGATTTAACTTCAGTGCTGAGGTGTCATCCACTCAGGGATATGAGTCTATCTTTGGAGTGAAAGCCCTTCCATGTGGAAACCTTCGCTAGCTGCAAGTTTGGATTCGCTTTGCCTGCCAGCACCGTTGGGAGCCTACAGTTCTCACGTTTCACGGATTATTCACCCCACTCTGTGGGGGGGGAGTTCATTACTGAAAATGCCGGTGGCAAGTTCATTCATAGGTAATACATCCTCCTAAACTGGATCCTCCTCCCCGAGGGTTTGGATTTGTCTACAACCGCCTCTGCTGTCTGCTGGAGACTCGAATGGCTTTGTAAAAGGTGATTTCTGCTTTGTTTTTTTAATCATTAACTTTGGTAAATAAACATGCTGACAAGCTCAATAACATGTCATGGATTCACTGTCGGCCAGTCAATGTAAGTCTGTGTCTACGGGGGTGTTGATAAGTGCCAAAACATAAATAACACACAACTTTAACTTCTGTGAACAAACTAAATTCGGGTCAGTTCGTCTTTCTAGCTCCAATTTTTGCCGATATCAAATTCATTCAGAAATGACACAACTTCAACTGTAGTTTGTCTCAATCCGTTCCGACTAACTCCAACTCAAACTTTGGGCAAAGAGCCATAGTTAGGCATAACTCAGACTGCTAGCTCGTAGCAAAGTACTTCCAGTCTAATCATTGTATCCTTAAAAATATGCACCAATTGGTATTAATACCGCATATCAGACCTCAGCTGATTTGAAACAGTTCTGTGGAAGATGGCTGAATTTTCTTTCCTCAACGCCGACTTCCACACCAAAGAGTGTTGAGCTTAGCACGATCTAGCAGGGTTTAGATATGGCGCATTCACAAGTTGGTTGGAAGATCAAATGCATTAGGTTATTTTTATCCAGTCGTTATCCCATCGCTCGTTTTAGTTAATAAATGCCATATGAAGGGCTGTAAAGAACCTTAGGACTAAATCTGTGTAATCATTTTCTCGTTCATGTAATACTCTGTTCTGATTGTGTACAATGCAAATCTCTTTAATTGTCAACATACTAATCTGATCTCTTTAAAAATAAATATTTAATTGTTTTTTGTTGTTTGTTCAACTGCAGGAGCTTTTTGGTCTTCTATTACCGGTCCTTGTCCGAACTGAGACTCTGCAGGACTCTGCAGTAAGTCCATCATGGCCGCTCCAATGTGTTTGCTCATGTTGAACTTTTCACTGGCCATGTTACTGGGCCTGACCACCCTGAGTGGACTGAGCTCTTGCCCGTCAGGACAAGTGTCAGCGCAGGTCTCTTCCAACAACCAGAGCACAGATTCGTCTGTGTTACCAGAGGCGGCACTGACAACACCGACGCCGGACCCAGAGCTACAGACAGATTCAACCAGTGGGAACCGCTGCTGGGGGTACTATGACGTCATGGGCCAATGGGACCCGCCATTTAACTGCAACGCAGGCATCTACCTGTTTTGTTGTGGTTCCTGCTTCTACCGCTTCTGCTGCCAGTTCAGAGTCCACAGTCTGGACCAGACCTCCTGTTCCAACTACGACACACCCGTTTGGGCCAACACCGGGAAACCGGGGTTGCCCGTCACGGAGGTCCACCAGGAACCGGATCGGGATCGGACCCATATGATCGTTTACATTATCTGTGGGGTGGTGGCCATCATGGTGCTGGTGGGGATTTTCACAAAACTCGGACTGGAGAAGAGTCAGGGAGGTCAAACGGACATGACGAACTCAAGGTAAGACCGGAAAACGAAGAGCGAATGATTGAATTTAGGAATAACAAGTTATTGCTATTTTAGCCTGCAAAGGCAATTGATGAAAGTCCTCTGGTTCAGGTTCTTTAGAACGTCATTGGTAAAAATACTAGGAACGTTTCTTTAGCCGATGTATTATCAATTTCTATATTTTGTCTCTTCATTAGAGTGAATATTTGGCAAAAAAAATTATTGGAATTAAAAAATTCAATGAATCGAACAACAATGAAAAGGAAAGTTTTTAAAATACCAGACAACACTGGATTTAAGTCTTACTGTGTTTTCACACCCGATAGTCCGGTAGACTTGCTCCGATTTGGGACCAAAATTGCAGCATTTGTTACATTTTCGGCTGCTGTGGTTCGCATTCACACTGAAATGTGTCAAACGATCCAAACTAACTTAAAAACCCATTCCGCCTGTCTCCAGATTTCACTTCAGCCAGACCAAGACAGAAGTTTTTAGGCGGATCAGAGTTCGCTTTTTTACTCCGTTTTGGAATTCAAATCCTCATTCACACTGCCCAAATCAATCAGACTTTCTTGACAAACAAATTAAGAGTCTGATTAAAGTGGACTAATCAAAGCTGGTGTGAATACACCCTTAATCACAGATGAATTAAAAAAATCCAAACAAACACCAACGACAAGATTCACTTCATACCGGATGAGTGAGCTATTTCAAAGCTATTGTGGAAATAATGAGAAGTGACTCAGAAGCCAATGTCATTTCATGCTCTGCATTCCTTTTATCAGGTGTCAAAACGCCAAAAGCATGTGGGCTCTACCGAAATTAAAACGTGTGACAAGTACTGATTGTCAGACCTTTAATACGATACCATCAAGCACAAAGTTTTAAGACTGAGACCGGTAAATTCCTCCAGACGATAGGTATAGCAACCGGATACAGTCGCAGAAGCACACAGAGAGACTGGGAGACATTCAATTCGGTTCGGCAAAACGATGATTTCAGCACAGAAGCGAACTAATGGTGAGGGGAGGCGCGTCGGGAATTGCGGCACGAGGCTTGCTGCGATTCGTCTGTACCGGTGGTGCAGTTCCACATTGACGGCTGATTGATTGCTGTGACACAACTATGACTGTGGCAACGCGTGGGCTCCAGAGAGCAATGAGCAAAGTGGGGGTGGTTTTTGGGAAGGGTGGAATATTGAGCTGATCTGACTGGAAAGCAGCCAGTGGCTAGTACAGAGAGCAGGAGAGAGTGTGTTTGTTTGTGTGAGAGCAAGACAAAAGCCAGAAAGAGGAAAACAGAAAACGGAAAAAGGAGAGGAAAAGTAAGGCACGCCAGGTGTGACTGGGTGTGACCGGTCATCTGACCAAGCCAGCTAGAAGGACATGGACTTTTTACACGGTCAAAACTACCATCAACATTATGAAAACTGTCCTCTCTTGGCATTATTTCAATGCCTCATTTATTTATTTATACTTTGGTGAAACTATCCCATAGGTGAAAGAGAGCACGAATGTGTTCCTACCCATGACATTTTTCACATTGCATCTACCATGTGAAATGTAAGGTGTTTGGATTTAATATGATAGATCAACTCAACGTTGTGCATAAGTAAAATGAAGAAAAAGTATACGTCCATGCGAGTTTTGCTGCAACCATGTCTGCCAATCTTTTGGGTTATGGCTGCACCAGCATTTGCACATCTAGAGACTGAAACGTCAGTAAATTCTTTGAAAAATGTTCGCAAGTTCATACCGACTGGACAGAGACTATGTGGACATCAATCTTCAAGTCTCTCTGCTGAATAAAAACTTTAACTGCACCTCCCGAGCAAAGGAATGTGCTCCTATCTAATCCTTTTTTGTTGCTGTTGTAGCTCTGGCTGTACACTGAGATAGACCTCTAACCAACTGACTCTCGTTTGCATTCTGCACATTTGCAGCCTCTCACTGGTTTTCTTCCTGCACTGCCATGTTACTGGTGCAACTCATGCCCATCCTTTGTCATTCTTGCTCTTCATAAAGGGAGTGTCCAACAAATAATTGTTGACAGATTCTCCTACCTCTTGGCTTCTTCTTTGAATCACTTGGTGTGACTTTTGCAATGGATTTTATTTAGACGTAGTCCAGCAGAGGGACTATAAAAAAGGTACTTTATTTTCTGAAAATAAGTCCCATGTCGGGATATCACTTTGGTGTATGTCTTATAAATACAAACCAAAATTAACATATATCTCAAACAATAACTTAAATAAATTTACCCCTTTTGGGTATCTTTCTTCCACACAATATGCCTTTTGGTCATTATTGTGTAAATACAGGTTTGAAGTGACATAGGCTAAACTGTAGCGAATACGCTGCTATTTTTAACTTAATATTTTCACTCTAAAACGGGACAAAGGTCACTGAGGGGCTAATAGGCACAAGAAGGGAGAGATGAGTAAAAATAAACACATTATTAGATAGAGTAATGCAGAGAACAGAGGGCTGAAAGGAAGTGACACATGAGACAAGCTCATTTTACAACCCAGTAGACAACCACAGCTGTTTATTTTATATCTGCCAAAATGTGTGTTGGTGACACGAGTGCTAACCACTTAAACGATGTGGAGGCTCTATTGGAGCGTAAAAAAGTGACAGAAGGACAAAAGGAGAAAGTCACCCAAGATAGTTGACGGTTTTAGTAAACATGTGTCATTCAGTTAATTTTCCACTGAGGGGGACTCATGGGTGGCATTTTACTCTTTCCCTAACAAAGTCTGCCTTTGCGTGCCTTGAGAATGGTGAAAATTATGCCTTAAAACCAAGAGACTGCCTCCAAACACGTGGCTAGTAATCCACTTGTCTTTGTAGCCCTTGGGGTGGCAATGGAACAGGTGTGCTACAAACAGGGTGATCATTATTTATTCACTTCCTGGCAATTTTTTTCCTTAATGTAATTCAAGTTCAGTGAAGTGCGTCAGTGTTTCTATTGTCGCAGGGCGAGTTTTCCCCAAATAAAAGCAGCGTGCAACTTGACAAAAACGAGCTAACAGGACTGAGATCCGGAGGACATAAATAAAGACATCTGGATTCTAATGTCTTGCAGGCAGTTGCCGAAATCAGACGGTTTATTACATAAGAATCATTAGATGGATCATGCCATGCCAATTCTTCAGTGCCACCAACTCTCCGTGAATGTGTCAGGGACTTATTTGTCAGCAAATAAGTGGATTATCAATAACATATTTACTGACAATCGAAAGAAAATGCAGCTTAGGAAGTTGAAGAACTCTGGGACAATGCTACTTGACTGGGATTCGCACACTAGCCATTCACGCAGTGCCATTTATTTTCCTTAGCTGTAGAATACGTCCAAATGTTTTGACTTCTGTCAGGATCATAAGATTGGTGAGTTTAGGCTGAAATGTGTGTCCCTGTATGCACGTCTAACCCCAAAGCAGAAAAAGGTGGCAGCACCAATGAATGTTTAGCTGCTCACCTAAGCATGCACATTATGCACACTTAACACTTCAGTGAAGCATTCTTTCTTTTGTTTACTGCTTTGCTTTTCTTTCTCGTTCAAGCTCTAGGCATGTGATAGAATAATAACCATTTCAGCAACAAAAATATAACGCATCTTCTCACTGAATTAACAGTTTTGCGCCCATTTATTTATGTACAGGAATATTGCCGAGGCTTCAAGAGAGAGAAAAAAAGTAGAACCTTGACTATCTCCAAATTATAATAGTGGTAATATAAAATCACAAACAGGCATTTGCGGGGAGTCAGAATTTCTTTTCTGACCGAGTTAAGAGCCTTTTGTGGCGCTGCACTGGGGCAACTACGACATACAGAGTGATTATGTGCCACCGGGCCCACTACAGGCACACAGCTTCTTCAGGGTGGAATTACAAAATCCAGATTGTGTTGTTGATAAAACGACGCCGAGCAGATGTGTAGCCACTCTCTGGGAATTTTTGGCGACAGGATTATGAAACAGGCTCTTTAACGCAATCTTGGCTTAAGGGGAAGAAACAGCACAAGGAAAAGCAGGCTGCCCGTTGGTTCACGTCACAGCCAAAACAAATAACCTTGAACCGCAAGTCGAACTCCACCGTTTCTAGGGGCAGAAAATGTGGTTTATCCAGGGTGTTGATAGCTTGCACTGCTGTCAGCGTAAAGCCAGCATTTACTCATGTTACAAGTCAACTACAGTCGTCCCATTTCCTATGGCTTTCCCTTTAATAATTAGCCCACCAAAACCTTTTTTTCTTTTGTGTGTGAGCTAATTGAATGATATCTGATGTATTCAATCGATATTACAAACTTCTCACACATACACATCCACTCTGTGTAATATTGGAAGGAGTTCATCTTTTAGGACTACATAATGTGCTATCAGTTATGTAGATTTCTAAGGTTAGTTTGACCTTCTATTTGGACACCAGCATTATTGTTACAAGTAAAACTTAGACCGACTGTGTGAGGCTTTTATCTTCTTACAATAAGTGCAAATAACATATACAGTATGTAAATTTAACACAACTAAGTCACAGTTTTTAGGCATGAAGTGTTTTAGAGACACATTCACGTTCAAAGTCAGAATACTGATAAAAACCGGAGTAGAAGTTTCATTTATCTGGCGTTTTCTTTCAAGGCAACCATCTTAGGTAGAGCAAAGGGATCTGTTTTTTTTAATTTATTTTATTTTGGCAGATTAGGTAACCACTTAAGCTCTAAATGAATGTAATAAATTGAAATGTGCTTCGACACACACCTACACACATACACACCTTCAGACAGCATCTTCAGCAGCGCGCGTTCACTTTACAAGCCAAATACCACTTATCATAAATAATTTCACTAAGGAGCGACGCGTTCAAGGGCACACGCGATTAAATGTCCCACCTGGGACCTAAACAACCGTTTTCGTCAACCGTTTTATTCCTTTAGTGCATTGTGTTTCATCAGCGGCGCTTTCTACTTGCTTTATTGTTCAGATGCAGAGGTACTTTTCATCATCATCTGTGA